TGAGTTATATTTAGAAAGTAACTTTCTCAAACAATTTAACAATACGAAGTTACACAGGAAATCTATTTCATTTTTTTTTTTAAATCATACCAAAGGACCATCAGAAATTGATTGTGACTATTTCGTTTTGGGTCGCATACTCTTTATTGCATAGGCAAGTGTGTCTGCAACTAAATACAAAAGTCAACCCTATTAATTTCCTACAGTTAATTTTGAGAACCATGTCAAGAAGAATACAACACAGGGAAGCCAAATCTGCTTACTTCTCCCTAACTTGAGGGAGCTAGGATGATACAGACAATGGCAAGCTTTACACTCCTCAACCTTCTAACCTGCATTCAGTTCTATCTAAACTGCTTCCTTGTTTCATCAACCACCCTCCACTCCACCTTGGACTTTCTGGGATCTCGGTTCCCTAAGGGGGTTCCAACCTTTCAAAGAGAGACAAACAACAAGACAGGCTTGAGCCAGCTCCCTAGTCCTTCCTAAGAATCAATTCAAAGAAAGGTGGGTGGTTAATGTAAATAAACCACAAACAACCAAACACTTGCCTTTACTTGTATGCACACACATGCAAACCACATAGCAGCACCTTCCCATCACCTTATTCAGCTTAGGATGAAACTAAGGAATTTTTCGAGGATAAATGTGTCATGGGAACTACACTGGAAATAAGTTTGGTCTGGATTAATTGTGCCTTGTTGAGGGACTCTGACATGAGCATCTCCGAGATTAATAATGGTTGCTGAAATGGGCAGAAGTTCAGGAACCAGATTAGTCCTTCAATTATAACAATCATCTCCCCACTTCTTCCCACCCACCCTCATATGCCCTAACGATGTTTTGCAATTTACAATAAAAATATGAGGAAGAAAAAGACTAACAAAAACATGCTGGAAAGAATTGTTTCCTGATAGTTTCTGGCCCAGAGATGCGAGAATAAATAAAACTATAATAATAAGTAAAACGTATCAAATCCTTTTTATAGTATCCTCTCTATAATAATAAGTATAAAATAATATAAAAATAATAAGTATAAAATAATATAAAAATAATATCCTCTCTATAATAATAATCCTCTCTATAATCCTTTCTATAATAATAAGTAAAACGTATCAAATCCTTTTTATCTCCCAATTCCAATATGAAATATCCTATAAGTACCCATTTTTTAATAATTCATAATTCTTTAGAATCTCTATCTTCACTTTGGTGAATGTTAGTTTCCTTTCTATCTAGGGTGACCATGCATCCTAGTCTGTCTAAGAAAGTCCTGGTTCCTTATTAAAAATTAGTGGCAAATGTTGTCTGGGTAGGATTGTTAATAAACACTTCCTGATCTAGACAATAAGTGCCCTAGTTTGGGCAATAAATTTCATAATACTGTAACACTAAACGAACTCTCTGATAGGCAATCAGGTTGATATTCTGGTATTTGCGCTGCTGTCCAATTTTTTAAATATATGTTATTGATTTTTAACAGAGAGGAAGGGAGAGGATAGAGAAAACATTGATGAGAGACAAACATCAATCAGCTGCCTCTTGAACACCCCCTATAGGGTATGTGCCCGCAACCAAGATACATGCCCTTGATTGGAATCAAACCTGGGACCTTTGAGTCCGCAGGCCAATTTTTATTGACCACTCCTCTAGTCCTCAAAATAACCAAATGACCTAAGTACAAGCTGTTCTTTTGTCTCCAGACTTTTTAGAAATGCACTAAAATTTGGCTTTTCTTTTGAGGGCCTAAGGGTACTAGCACTAAGATAAATCTTGCAAAGATAATTTTGGCCCAATATATTCTATTTATTCACTGGTATTCATGAAAGAATAGAAATTGAAAGGCCTTCAAAAAGTTTTCAAATTATGCCTTACCCAGTTTGGCTCATTCTAAAGGGTCTTGGGTTCGATTCTGGTCAAGGGCACATGCCCGAGTTGGAGGCTCCGTCTCCAGTACGGGTTGTACAGGAAACAGCCAATCAATGATGCTCTCTCATCATTGATGTTTCTATCTCTCTCTCCTTTCCTCTCTGAAATCAGTAAATTAAGAAATTTTCATCTTGGTGGGGTAGGGTGTGGGGGAGTAAAGGAACCACAGAACCTTTCACCCCTTCAAATCTTGCTCAAAACCCTACAGCATAAAATTCAGAAAAGCAAAGCTTCTCTGGTTAGCCAGAGCAAGGCTATAAGCAGAACTTCCCTTTTTGTTGAAGAGCCAGCCCTATGTGCACTTAGTGGTTATCTCGATCCTGGCCTTGAAAACAACACAGTTCTATTCCATTGAAAAATGCACCTGGCATGGCATTGAGATTATGGGCATATCTAGTTTCTGACCTACAAGGTCATATAGCTGAGTTTATCTTCAAACAGGCTAAAGCAGGCTAGAAGGCAAACATTTTTTTAAACAGCAGTTTTTTACAAAATAGTTCCAGTTATCTAACCCACCCTTAAATCAGCCAATAGGAATGCAGAAGGCAAAATAAGCTAACCGCATCCAGCCACCTGTGTAACTGGATCCTGGCCCTCACCCCACCCCCTAACCCTAAGTCTTATAAAGAAGCTATACTCTTAGAACTTGGGGCTCTTGCCGAAGCCAGTTTGGCTCAGTGGTAGAGTGTTGGTCTGCGGACTGAAAGGTCCCAGGTTTGATTCCAGTCCAGGGCATGTACGTTGGTTGCGGGCACATCCCCAGTAGGGGATGTGCAAGAGGCAGCTGGTCGATGTTTCTCTCTCATCGACGTTTCTAGCTCTCTATCTCTCTCCCTTCCTCTCTGTTAAAAATCAATAAAATATATTTAAAAGAAAAAAAAAGAACTTGGGGCTCTTGGCATCCTGCCGTTGCATTGGTAAAGACGGAGAGACCAGGCTTGAGCTTGAATAAAGGCTCTTTGTTTTTGCATCAAACTCGGCTCCCTGGTGTTCTTTGGGGATCTTGAATATAACACAAACCACGGCTCGAGAGCTATATGCAGCTCTTTGGCCTCTTGAGTATTTTTGGCTCTTCCACAAAATACCACGAGCGGGCACACACAAACAGTGTGACTGAAACTTCATGGCCCATGCGCAGAAGTCGGTTTTCGGCCTGGGTGAGTGAGTCTATTTTGAAGAAGTGGTTCTGATGCTGAACCACACTCAAGGGGCCAAAGAGATGCATGTGGCTCACGAGCCACGGTTTGCCGACCACTGGACTAGACCAATTCCCCTAATTTACAAATGAAGAAAATGTAGCTCAGGTCATCTGCTTTTGTCAACATATTTCAATGTCTTTTCCTCTACTGGTAATTCCATAAACAAAGCTATAAGTCAAGAGTGGGTGGTCACATCAATTGTCATTGAAAACTATCTTCTAAAGGGTTCTGGATATACCTTATAACAAGGAAACATACAACAATGGATGTTAAGTGCTTTTCTAGACTACTACTAGTAGACTCAAACAGTCACTCAAAACAACCTAATGTGGAGCCTGTTTGTGAATATTTCTTCCTCTGGAGGGAAAATGGAATAGGAGCTGAGAAAGAGTATTAAGCCCATTTTAAATGGAATAGGAGCTTAAAGGAGTTATTAAACCCATTTTAAATTAAGGTTCCAAAGTGAACATATATTCTAGTTCTAAGAACAGCTACCAAAAATAAGCTACCGAAAAGATTAATAATGATATATGAAGATGTTCATCATAGTATTGTTTAGAACTGTACTAGTATATGGCACATGTATAAACACAAAGTATAGGAGAAAAGAGGCCAAAAGAACTGGAAAGGAAAGAAGAGTTACTGAGGCAATGGAATTCTGCAGATTTCTTTTTCTACCCTTCCTAAACTTTCTTTTAAAATGAAACTAGGGCAATGGACCTAAATAGAATATTTACAAAAGAAGACAGAAGGAAGGCCAAAAGGCACATGAAAACATGCTCAAAGTCACTAATTATCCGAGAGATGCAAATAAAAACAACAATGCGGTACCATCTCACACCTGTCAGAATGGCCAACATCAACAGATCAACAAACGACATGTGTTGGCGAGGCTGTGGAGAAAAGGGAACTCTTGTGCACTGCTGGTGGGAATGCAGACTGGTGCAACCACTGTGGAGAACAGTGTGGAGTTTCCTCAAAAAACTGAAAATGGAACTCCCATTTGACCCAGTAATCCCACTCCTAGGAATATATCCCAAGAAACTAGAAACACCAATCAGAAAGGATATATGCACCCCTATGTTCATAGCAGCACAATCTACAATAGCTAGAATTTGGTAACAGCCTAGGTGCCCATCAGCAGATGACTGGATCAAAAAACTTTGGTACATCTACACAATGGAATACTATGCTGCCATAAAAAAGAAGGAATTCTCATCATTTGCAGCAACTTGGATGGAAATGGAGAACATCATGCTGAGTGAAATAAGCCAGTCATTGAAAGAAAAACACCACATGACCTCACTCATTTGTGGATAATAAAGAACATTATAAACTGATGAACCAAAAGATAGATATAGAGACAGTATATCAATGAGCAGACTGTCAAATTACAGCAGGGAGGGGAGGAAGATCTGGGGGAGATAATAGATCAACCGAAGGACTTTTATACATGCACATAAGTACAACCAATGGACATAAAACTCTGGGGAGGGAAGGGATGTGAGGGAGGGAGGGAGGGGGGGAAAATTTATATATAGATATATATATTAAAAAAAAAAAAGACTGAAGAAAGGACCTCTTTTCCACTATTTCGAATGCTTAATAGCTAATTTCATAACATCACATGTACCATTTTAAGAAAGTGATGATTTAGTGGGAAATTAAAGCTTTGCATCTGTATACTGTAAATATAAATGACGATTTGTTTGAAATGTGTAACTTGGATATGCAAAAGATAATAACTCACAATGTTAATATTAAATATTCCTTAAAAATAAAAAAAATAAAAAAAAACTACCTATGCTGCAAAAAAAAAAAAAAAAAATGAAACCAAACCAATCAAAAACACAGAATGCAAATAGCACTTACCACAGAGACTTTGCTTACTACATCTCTTGCAACTGCTAAGCCTTGAGCAAAAGTACGGGCTGCTACAAATGCACGAGTGATCTGTAGTTTCAGTTTCCGAGGGACATCTCCAAAGGGCTTCAGCTGCTCTGTATACTTGCTCACGCATTCCAGATACTCATCTGTGAAGTGGTACTGCGAGTTCACCAGGCGGAACATCCGCTCCAAAAGGCGAGCCCAGAAATCATTTAGCATTTCTTCCAGGTTCACATTTCCCACTACATAGTAGCGCTTCAACTCTTTGAAGAGATCTTTAAATAGCTCAGAATTTTGCATGTATAAGTGGCCATATGTCTTCACAAACATGTCATTCAAGGACTTTTCTGCATTTTCAAGTAGCTCTTTAAAGAATTCTAAATACAAAACAACAGAAACGAAAAAGGTTTTCAGTAATGAAGTAATAAGGTTTTTTTTTTTTTCAGGTAAATTTGAAAACAAAACAAAAACATTAAATTGGAAAACATGCTTGGATATAGGGCAGATTTCTTTTGGTGAATGTGGCATCTTTGAACATTTGTCAATGAAAAGAAATCTACAAAGTTACACAGAGAGGTAGAAAAATGGAATTTTAAACTAACTTATCAGGAGTCAATATAACAAACACACACACACACACACACACACACACACACACACACACACTTCTCTCTTATTCAATCACAAGATAAAGAACTAGAAAAAAAATGGGTACATGAAATCTAAAACATGAAGTGTCCCAGAACTTTATGCTTCAAGAATCTAAACCAATGTTAATAATGCCTCATTGTAACCTGACAATAGGATAGGTGTTTTCAAATGGTATTGTTTTATTTGAAGACATTTTTTTTTAGTTTTGTCCTCTTTATATCCACATGACAAGTAAGAAAACTTCCTGGGAAATACTTGAGGCCAAGAAAAATAATGAAATACACCAAGAAGCAAGCACATAATTTTTCTGAAAATGAGGTGTTTCCTTGTGTCACTGGTTCAAATTGGGGTATCCAAGTTGACCTTGAGTTGCTAAAAATTCATATAGTGACATCATGAGTTTTTTTTCTTCCAGTGAGGGTAGAGGGAGGAAAATAGAGAGGGAGAAGGGGAAATGGAGGAACAGGGGGAGGGAGATGAAATGCATAACAGATTCAACCAATATAGTTGGTATATTTACAAAGACAATAGGGAAAATAACTGAAAAAACATATACATATACCACATTATTACATTTTGCATTTTGCACTCCACCTACCCACAACATATGTGTTGAAGATTTTAATCTCTTAAGTACAAATTGCAAATTAGATTCTCTTGAAGCTTTTCTCAGGAAATTCAATGAAGAGGAGCTAACAGTGTATCTGTAACATTAATCATTCTCAAAGAATCTATTCCTGGTATAAAAATAAATACCTCATGATATCAAGTTTTTTAAGTAGGAAATGTAATAAATACCAAAGCAAAATATAAGGACCACATCAAATAAGAAACCGTCTCCAAGTGAACATGGAGCAGGAAACAAAATATGACGCCTCCTTCAAAGTCAGGAGAACATTAGAAAGCTTATCAAAATGCAATAGCACTACAAAACCATTCTCTGTTCATAGTGGGTGGGCAAACCGGAGGCTGAAAACTTATTACAAATAGTTTCTTAAACCTGGACTGAAAACACTGAGCCTTTTGAAGGGAATGTGTATGACTTTCCTCACTATCAAGGGATCCCATACCTATGTCCCTGTCTCATCACCACGTGGTTCATGAGACTTGGGGCTAAAATCATAGTCCTTAGGGCCCACATTTTCAAACTATGTGTGTTTTGTTTTGTCTATTTTTTTTTCTTTCTTTTACTATTTGCCTTTTATTTCCTAGGCTATCTTCAGAGAAAGGGAAATTGATTCCCTCTGAAGATCAAAAACTAGGCAAGTCAACTACTCCATTATCCCCATCACATGTGTACAGCCTGGAGTTTTTACCAATGTTTTCTCCCTGGAAGAAGGAGCGAAAGTATAGAAGGAGCTGGAAAAACCACATGAAAAACATTATTCAAATCAGGTAACTGGAAAGGCCTCTGATTCTCTCCAAAATCTCAAGTGGTTAAGTGTGGTCTAATGATGGGCATGAATCAACATGACAAGGACACATGTTATAAATACAAGCTCTTGCCCTGACCAGTCTGGCTCAGTGGATAGAGCACCAGGCTATGGACTGAAAGGTCCTGGGTTTAATTCCGATTGAGGGCATGTATCTTGGTTGCAGGCTCAAACCCTGATAGGGGACACACAGGAGGCAGCTGATCGATGTTTCTCTCTCATTGATGTTTTTAATTCTTTATCCCTCTCCCTTCCTGTCTGTAAAAAGTTAATAAAAATATCTATCCTAATATATAAAAACCCTGAGTTGTGACAACCAGTAATGACCAGAGGCTGACCCACTGGAAGTCAGTGTTGGCCCTGCTCCCAAGCAAGCGGTTAGGGGCAATAAAGCCAGCAGGCAGGGGGGTTAGGGGTGATCAGGTAGGCAGACCAGTGATTAGGGGTGATCAGGTAGGCAGGCAAGTGGTTAAGGGAGATCAGGTAGGCAGACAGCCCCTGACCGGGCTGGCCCCACCCCCAAGAAAAGAAACAGGGAGGTCCAGGCCAACCAAGCCATTGCACCCAGCCTGTCGCCTGCAGTGGGCAGCACTGCACAGATGGCTGTGGGGTGGGGCCAAATGCCTGCAGCCCGGGGAAGGAAAGCCCCGATAGGCCCTGATCTCAGGCCAGGCCTTGGGACCCTGTCCTAGGGGTCCCAGATTGTGAGAGGGTGCATGCCGGGCTGAGGGACACCCCCACCACCACACTGAGTGCATGAATTTTTGTGCACTGGACCTCTAGTGTGTGTGTGTGTGTGTGTGTGTGTGTGTGTGTGTGTGTGTGTGTATAAAGAGCCAGGGTTGTAACATGCAAAATGACCAAAGGCTCAGGCGAGTGGGTCAGGCAGGTGAGTGGTTAGGAGACAGTTGTCCCGGATTGCAAGAGGGATGTCTGACTGCCCTCTTATTTCTTCCTATGACACTTCCTTCAACAATGAGGACTAGAACACAAATTAGACATCAGGTCATAGTCCATGGTCATCAATAGCAACTTCACTAATTGTTGCAATGCTCATCTCCACTCCCCACACCTATTATTCAGAATTGAAGATTAGAGTCAGATCTTAACCGCTAAAGAAAAACTGTATAGTCTTGAAATACCTAGCAATCATCCCTTCATAATCATGCCTGAAGCCATAAGACACATGGTGGCTGGGAGAGAACTCAGCGAGGAGCAGTGTAAACCAGAGTTCCACAACTATCAGAAGCTGAGTTAATTGGAAATTAGATCTCCCTTACAGCAACTGCTTGAATTCATGAAAAATGCTGCTCAGGGAGTCTCTTTTAAGTGATGCTATTGGTGTCTGAAAAGAGAGTCAGAAAGGAGAGAGTTTACAAGCATTTGAAATATGGTGTCTGTGATCAGGGTTTATTTCCCTTTCAATTTTCAGTTTGGAAGCTTAATAATTTATGTTCTAAGGATCAAGCAACTGCTATCCTAGGGCTCATGAATGAGCACTTAAAGTAGAGATGGAAATAAACACTGTAGCATGCTACATATCTAAAGCAGCATGACATAGTAGGAGAAGCTCATGTGATTTCCCATTTATGAGCCATATGACCTTGATTGACAAGATTTAATCTCTCTGACCCTCTGATGCCTCATCCATAAAATGGAGCTATTACTAAACTCAGCTCATATGGATAATGCCTGACACACAATTGATGCTCAATAAATGGACAGTATTCATAATACATGAGGTGATACTGTCAGCTTTAGAGTTTCTTTATATCTACAATCATTTAAAAATCTCTTCAGGCTGGTTTTTAATCTTTCCTGGTAGAGTCAAATATTATCCATCAGGGGGGAACATAAATTAAGCCAAAACGGCTGGAGATCAGTTAAAAAGACCCATGGCCTTATAAAACTGAGAGCAATTTAGCTAAAGGAAATGCTTAATGGCTCTTACTTCTAATGTTGTGCAATGTCCCAGACAGCTATGAGGGTGGGAGCAAATACTGAGTGAAAAATACAGAATGGAAAAATGTCAACCTAGAGATTTTACATTATATTATATGAAAGTATATATATAGATATAGAGATATAGATATAGATATAGATATAGATATAGATATAGATATAGATATAGATATAGACATATCTCCCCAAAATATATACACACTTTAAGAAATGATAGCTCAATTTTGAAAATGAAAAGTATTTTAATAAACAATACCTTTATAGTTATTCAAAGTGTGTGTATATATTTTTGAAACAACCCATATATATAAAATCAGGAGAAAGTATTAGGCAAAAGAAATAGGGAAATGAAAATTAAGAATTAAACAGCAGGTCAATTTCCAATCCTATCCACATATTTCATTTGCATACTGCCTCCTTTTCAAAGTCAGCTCAATATAAGGGTTGAACTAAGGTATTGTATTTTCCAGCTCTAAAAGGTTATTATTCCTAATGTCAATAGTACCTATTTAACATGAGAAAAACTAGAGTGAAAAGGCAAAACTTTTCCATATAAAAGTTGTTTATTTAAATATCCTGTCTTTAAAAAAAAGAGGAAGAACATCCTGTACTCCTGGAATTTCTATCCCCAGCCACTTGTCTTGCATCAAATAAACATCCAAAATTCTTGAAACAGGTCAAAACGCCATTGGTTACTGCTTTGTAAACAACGGACTGCCCACTGATTAACTAGAATGCATTCTAGAATTAACCCATGACCTTAAGAGATTGGAAGCTCTTTCTATTCAATCCATCTGCGTGGTGCTATAAATTACCACCTTTTATTTACATTATTAGGAAGCTGTCTTTTACATATAAAGATTAATTTCCTCTTTACTTTCTGTAAAGGCTGTATTTCACAGCCTAGTGTGGCATGCAAACATTACCACATCACCGAAGTTTCTGAGAAAAGCAGCTTCCTTGTAAGTGCTACAAATCATACTTTTCACACTGTTAAGAAATCTCAGAGTTATGCCCATCCATTTTTTCACCCAAGATCAAGTACTTAATGAAGAACAGCTAACATAAGCATCTACAAATGTCTTGCTTTATTGGTAAAGTATGTATACGTTTTTAACACCCACCAACTTTCCTTTATTTGGGCATAATCTCAATCCTCAAAAGTGCCTTCTAGGCTATGCAGTACTAATAGAATATGTAGTTGATTAATGTTCATCAACTGATAGTAAATTAATAGATCTTTCCTAGTATGACAAGACAATTGCCAGTAGCAGTACTTATTAGGGGCTTTTAACATATCAAAGGGAGCTGGGTGATCCCACCAATGTAGG